TATAGCACTGCCTGTGGTTACTTTGGATATTGGATACAATTGCCTTGTATCAACGGACTGTGGAAGACTCTTTCATATATTGTACCGAAGTCATCTATTCATAAGTAGTAAATTTCGTGTCTCTGAAGTAATCGAGCTGTTTCCAGAATGTTCCTATTACAGCGACATCTCATGACGAGTAGCGAAATTGACGCCCTTAGAATAGTCGAGCTGTTTCCAGAATGTTCCAAAGTGAACTGTGAAGATGAAATCTTTAGTTAACTGTGAGGAAGAAAAAGTAATTGTGAAATGAAGTGTTTGTGTTTTATCCGGTGAATCCCTGTTACTAAAAACCACGAATAAATTAAAGAAGAATAATCAAAGTGTCTTATCTCCATCCCCACGCTCATAAAAACATCGCAATCAAAGCAAATCGACAGTGAGGCTCAAGACATCAAAACTCGGTTAGTTGCCAGTGCTACGGTAGCCAACTTTTAAAACTCTCTGTCGTCTCAGTTTCATCTTTGTTTTAACATTAAATTGTATTTTACTTTCTGTCAGTTATCAATTTCGTCTTCAAAGTTTATATTAATATTTATGAACTAAATATAACTGTTATATCTAGACAAATTGTAGGTTTTTGCAAGTCCAGGGTAAACTCAGAAGAATTATGTAATAATCTTGTAAATAAGAGTATTTGCGTTTAGTTCATAGTTACCGGTTAATCTTCAGTATATCAGTTATTTAAGATGTAGGAGCGCGTAAACACGCCAGGCCACCGTTCATTTTTTAGATAAATTATTTTTAATGTACATTTCTGTGTTGATGTTAATTTTTACTATTTAAAAAGTGAGTAAAATACAATAAAGTTCGTATTGCCAAGTTTTCCAGCAAGGTATAATGTAACAAAGCAAAGCGATTTCAGTAATTTAAAACATGTAAGTTGATATATTTTTTGTTGAAGCCGGATACTACTTTTTGCGTGTTCAAGGGAAATTAACTTTCGTGCAGTTCAAGGGCCTTTACATCGATTCGTCCAAGGCCTTTAGATTACTGTATGTATTTCCTTCAGAATTAGCTTTATTATTCTTTTAATTGTCACTTAAATTACTTGCTGTAAATAAAGTCTTTGTACTGTCTTGTTAGTGGTAAAATTGTAAAAATGATAAACACAGTAATTTGAAAAAACCACAACGTAGTTGTTTGTTTTGAACTGTAAATATAACTTATGAAAAGCGGCGAATGTCGCGTACAATAGTTAACATAAAAATAAGCTGGAATAAAAATTATTCATAACTTTTTTAACGTATTAAAATTAATGCGTCAAGAGAGGGCGACTCTCGGTGGTAGTTTATATTGAACATTATTCACATAGTGTACAAAATAGTCGGCCATTAGTGTGGCCGAGTTCTGGCCAGTTTGCGGCCAGTTGTGACTAATGTATGGCTCAGTTTGCGGGCAGTGGTAGATGCGAGGCTCCGGCGGGGCGCGGGCGTGGCCGCTAGATGGCACTAGTCGGTATGAGCACATCACTCACACGGTGTTTTTGCATTAAGTCGTGTGTGTGATGTCAGAAAGATTTTAGTATGAAGTTATAAAGCAAGTTTATCAACATTACAGTTTTTTTAAATTATCACAGACCAGTGATTCAGTTTTGTTGTTACGATTTTTTGCTTTGTGTGTATTCGATCCTTTTCAGTAGGGAACTATTACTAAATACAGAATATAAACACGGCAGCCAACGCCCTCCGTGTAAAGGTCGTGCAATGAACTGTCTAAATACCCCTTAATGCTCAGCCACAAGTTATGCAAACGCTACTGTCTCGCGGATTAAGCCGCACAACACATGTTTGCACACGAACAGCGTTTGCTGGATATTTAAGCCCAGTGATGCGATTAAAGTACTCCTCAGCTCGCGTTGTGTTTGCCAGATTTTATCTTCATTATACACACGATCCGAGCGTTCTGTTTGTGGAATAATATTAACGTGAAAATATTTCGCAAATAATAAATGTACGAGAATGTTTATCGAAAAACTATAGATTCTTGGAATGGATACTGTGAGTAAGTAGTGTCTTGAAGAAACGAACAGTTAAATACTTAATAAAATTATAATAATACTTAATTTTTATTATCAGGACTGGATAAACGTCTTCAGTCAATAAATTAAATAGATATTTGTGCGAATAGTAAATCCGCAAGCGACAAAAGTCCTGGTATACAGTAAGTAAATCTCATTTTAGATTAACTCGGGATTAGAGAGGTCCTATATAAGAGTAGTAGTTGTGAAGGAGCCCGCGCCGGCGCCGGCATCGGCTCAGTACAAACATGTTTAGGTTTGAAGAGCAAATGATCGGCGAGAAGTTTGCAAAGGGCTTGTTAACTCTCACTAACTGTCTGACATGTGTACTGCGGCTGTTGTAACAACCTTCAAACTAATATTGAGTCACCTTTCAACAATTAGTATTATATTATATCTTTAACAATTACCCTCTTCATGTACTCATATGTATGAGTAGTGGGGAGCGGGGGAGGGGGCCGGGTATCGGCTAGGGAGCGGTCAGGGGTCAGGGCGAGGAAGGCGGCAGGCGGTCGCGGTCGACGCTCGCGTTTGTGGTACTCATTTGTTATCGCGCCTTATATCCGCCGAACCTTCTAAATTTAATTGACTTACGGATGGACCTCTGATTTTTATTTATTATTCGATTTCTATATAAGATTGCTCTCTAATATTTTGGGTTATCTTCTTTCAAATCAAGAGTATTTTATACCTATTTGTCGTCTACTTCATTTCAATTTAACATACATCCTTTTTCAATATTCTTTTGTCCTTGCTTTCGTTCTTCTTGTCATTCTTTCATCAGCATCTCTTATATAAGGGACTTCTTATATCGTTAACTAAGGCTTTATGACGTAATTGAAGCATGAGGCTATCGAATATACCATACGTTAGTGTCTGAGTTAAGGATGCCGTTGTCTGGAGATCTCTCATGTTTACGACCCTCCAGTGCATGGTCTGTGGAGGGAGGGGGGGGGGCGGACTGAATACTAATTACCAGTAAACAGCTCAGACGTGCGCAGCGCAGAGCACTAAGGGAATTTTAATTTTAACTGTTTTAACTAGAGTACAAATTGCTTTCTGCGCAAAAGTTATTGAACTGCACCTAATTGGGTATTACATTAGGAATTCTGAAACACATATTAGAAGTAAAACTAGTTATAGTGTATTTTGAAGACAGTGTCTTTGCTTATTAATCTTATTGTAGTTTAAGCTATGTTATTTGCAAGGAGCTGCGAGTTGCAGCTGCGGTAACTAACTACTGTAATAGTTGTTACAGTTGTAAACGCTTAGAGAATTAATTACCCTGCCCGTTGGTGCGGCTGCAGACTGCTGCCTGTGGACGTGGACTGTCCGCTCTGTTTATTATTCAGACGCCGAGTGTAAAGCAAGCGCTAACAACTTCATCCCACTGGTGTAACGCATTTTGACATCCTTAACAGGAATCATGACTGGTTATCTCTTTTATTCAATTATCTTGTTCAATTGTTTAGTTCCTCCTTGTTACATGTAGTATGACAAATGTTCGCTATATTTGCTCGTATTTTCCCCGCAGCGGTTTACATTCGATCGATATTTGAATTGCAAATCAAACTTTATTCGATCCCGCGTCCAATTTTACCTCTCGTTTGCAAACCGCCCTCAATTACAGCGGACGGCAGCGGCGGCGGTCGACACCACACGTTCATCGAATACTGTTGTATCAGCTCCGGCACAAATAAAACTTTAGGACGATACAGCAAAATAGGACCAGTTCAAATTAGAGTATTGACAAAAAGAGAGAACGGGCCTTCACCATTGTTACTGTACATATAAAGATTTTCTCAGCTTCATAGAAATAGAAAAATGTTTAAATTGATAATAATGAAACAATTGTAAGGTCTGTTTTACTACTTTATTTATTTACCTGATGTTAATATTAACACAATAATGAAGCAAATAGAAACATAATACAAATATTTGTCACGTCTACAGCAAACAGTTTGTCGATGTACTCGAAGGTAAAATGTAAACGGCCGTGTGACGTCACGTGTTTGTCTACCAACCAACTAATCTGAACAAAGCCAGTGACTAGACGACACGACACGATACAAGTCGTGTATTGTCGGAACATATGTGTCTGTATGGAGTTTTTTATTTTGTGACGTATTGGAAATTTGACGTAGAATTGAATGTTTTTTTTTTGTACTTATAATTTAGTACAACCAATATTTATGAACGTACGTTTGTCTCTACTGAGGGTAATATAGTGTGTTTATTCATAGCAGATATGTTATGCCTGTCGTCTAACAGAATTACAATAAGCATTGAGATGTTATCAAATACAAGATAACAATAAGATGAATAATGTATGCAATGAATATTGATTGAGCCATGTTTGATTTGTTGTTGAGCATCACAGTATAGCAATTATGTTGTATAGTAAGAGTATAAGTCTCGGTTTTTTTGGTGTAATGTGGAGAGCAGCAGGTATAATTTCCACTAGCCCGGCCGCGCGGTGTCGCACAGTGAAAATGGGTGTAAGTGTCTCCGGCGCGGGGTCAGCAGGTCGCCGCGACGTCGCCGCTTCTCAAGAGGCTCTCCGCAACAAAGCGGCTCATTTCGTTTCTAATGTTTCTTTTGCTGTTGGCCGACTTTAACACTGTAACGTAGACTATTTTTTTTTCTTTAATTATTTAACTTTGTGTTAAAACCGCCGTTTATATTGAATTAAATTAGGTAAAATAAACATCATCAGATAATATGTTAGACTTTAACAATGTAATGGGCGATCGATACAAACGACTGGTTCCGCTTCACTAACTGTCACTAACGAACGCGGACACGGACCGACTCCAAATTGCCCCAAATAACCTGACCTATCATATATCAGTATGTACACCGCGAGCCGCCGTATAAAATAATTGATGAGCCATTCCGCTTAAAAGCTCTTTGGTTATTACAGTTGCGATGTTCGTTTCAGATCGGCTGCTACTGCGAGCGCGCGGCGGGCTGATGGCCCGGTGACGCAGCATGCGCCGCGTGTCCATCGCCGCTTTACTGCGGCTGCTCCTCCTCGCAGGTATACGCATGATTCATTGAATAGCGAACACCTTAAAATATACGAGTTCAAGTTACATGCGATGTACTGTTTGGAAATAATGCGTTTTGTAAATTTTACGTTGAGGTTTAACTGAGTTTCCCCGTTTAATTATTATTTATGTGAAGGAAAAGGTCTAAAACTTAGTATTCGTTGTTTTCATTATCGGATTATTTTAAAAATTATATAACACTTATGAAAACCTTATAAATAAAGTCATAAACCTACGAGTTTTTGCGTCGCTAAAGCGCGGGCGCGTCGCTGCACTAAAATGCGCATAAAGGCTCCGACGCGAGCTCTTTCATACGTATTTTTATTATTATTTTACAATCAAATTTTTATGGTAACACATAAGCCTGCCGGGTTTTAGAGTGGAATTATGATAATGTCGTGCAGTGCGGGATCGGCTGTTTACAGAGGCCTTGCGCGGTCGCCGGCTTTTACAGATGGAAACAAAATTTATTACGAAAAGTTTTCATTTGATACAATGTTATGATCCCGCACCGAAGGGACCCTCCGGCGAGAAATCATATTTCTTTTGTTTAACTGTGATTCCGTTTGCAACAAGTTTATTTCATCTACGTTCGCCTCGTAACGGTTCTTTTTTAATTTCCTTGTCGATATAAAAACAACCAAAGTGCTAGAGTGTGTAATCTTAAAAACATAAGACCAAAGTCTTTTTAGAAGGATTTATTTGCGATGATTCCAACAAAGAAATTCTACATAAAAAAATGAAATAAGTAACATGTTACCATCAATGTGATGCCGAGTATGTTTTTATCCATTTACAAATGCCACATTAAACAAAAACTATTACTTGAAATCCGTCATCATTCCATTTTGACGTACGGGAATAGACAGATTCATGTTCCAATAGTGAAACCTTGTGTTTTACAATATTTAGATAAAATGCATGTCCTAATTAGGTAAATGGCCTATTTTTCATTTTTGGCTACGGTAGGTTCGGTCTTCGAGGTTTGCGTGGGCAGAGCAGGGGAGGGCATCTGGGAGGGGCAGCAGACACATTAATTCCAAGACATCGGCTTAGCCTTCGCCGACCTCACGCCAGTATTATCGCTCTATCAATAGACCCACTGCCCGATAAAAACTTATTTGACACGAGGATTTTTATGTTGGCCATGGAAATAATTCACTTGGATATTATCACTTAGTTTGGATACTTTCTATACATATTAAAGTACCTGTTAATGTAGAGATTAATAGTATCTTCTTATATTAAGTATATGGAGTATAACACTTTTATGTAGGAATTGGAATAATAGTAATAGATTGGCGAACTAATAACGGCGATTTTATTACAAATACGACATTTTATTTTATCTTGTTTAAAGTACCACGTACTAATTTCACTGAAGAAGTGGATTGTTAATTAAATTACCTTATAACATTTTCTTTATCGTGGTTAATGAATTCAGGTGCGAGGGTCTCGTTACGCTGGTCCTGATTATACTTGACCGCCATTACTGTCTGCCGCAGAAATAAATTGTTTAATATTTCATTGGCAACACTTCGCCTTGCAGCGAATTCATTTCACAAACAAACGCCTCATTTAGCCCTGATTCACGGCCGCTGAAGCTAAGACGTTTTAATTTATATAAACGGTTTTGAAGAAACGGCGGACGCCAGTATAAGCTGACACCCAACTTTTCAAACCTTATTGTACAACATTGAAATGCAACAATGCGAGCTCGGAGGCCAAGCTTGCCTGGTCGCCTCGCTACTGCGGACTGCGGGGCTGCGGGTGCGCGAGACGGATACCTTACAATATCTCATATCGTATTAGGTATATTATTTCCTGCGCAAAGTCTGCTCCATTCGGCGAAGTGCAATAGTTCTGTTGCCAACAGGGATATTAAATATAATGATGTAACTCCGAGCGCATTTTACAGCAATAAAAGTTGCTTCTCGCATACATTTATCTGTTTATATATGCTTCTTAACAAATGTTCACAAACACCGTTAGAATATTCGTAACTAATGAATTCTCTCAAGTCGGGACCTTATAACGCAACGTCGAAAGAACGTTTACAATTCTTAAGTTCAGTGAGCACTAAAACGCAGCTTAATATTATAATTACTGCGCGGAGTCTGAATAAATCGTACGTTATCTCCTACTAACAGTTAAACTCCCCCATCAGGCGGCGCTAGCTTCGCAAACCCGTACGGCGGCGAGGAGCGCGTGGACCTCGGCCAGGTATGGGTGGACATCCCGAGCGCGCCGGTCGCGCTGGGCGGGGACGTGC